GGCTCTGAGCTGATATCCTTTGTGAACCGTCCCTTATTGCCCTAGGGCGTGGGTGGTTAGAGGGTGCCACTGGTACGTCCTACTTCGTTACTTTCCCTTTCACTCTGTTGTTTTTTGTCTGTCTTACTTTTTTTTCCAAGCACTCAATGACCATTGTGCCAATATTTTTCTCTAAGCTCAAACAAATTAATGTACAAACAAACAATGTCCTATGGGCTTGTGGGAAATGGTTTTCCTCTTTTAATATGAGATCAAATAGCATAGCTCATTGTCCTAGGCGGGTGCCAAAAACTAAAGAGTTTTGACTTGCAGCAATACAATAAGGTCATAGATCTATACATTATAAGTGCCGAAGATCAGATGTGTTACGAGAGAGTAACATAGACCAAAAAAGGGGGAGAGATAAGGAAGATAGATGTTTGACAGGAAAGAAAGGGCAAACCCCGCCAGAGCACCCGCTAACCACTCACTCTCGTAAGGTGTCATGCTCTTAAAATGATGAACAAGAAAACTGTACCGCCAGTGTTTCTGTACTGGCAGCGTGTGACTCCCTTATTTTTTGTTTTGTTTAATTCTAATAATTTTTTATTTTTTGTTTGTTTAGTAACGACACTTGCAATACAAAGAGGCCGTAACTGCCGAAGAGTGGAAGTGTTACTAAAGAGTTTAAAGAGCAATATACATACAAAGAAAAGGAGGGGAGATAAGGTACGACTGTCATTCGTTAAGGGAGCATAGAAGAAGTAAGAAAAAGAGACTCTGATTGCGATTTTGAGCGTGTTTGATGCAAGACAAGACGCCCTCACTGTGCAGTCTATTTTTGTGTGCAACAGCATAATGTCATGTTTGTAGGTGTACTTGTATAAGTGTGTGTGTGTGTGTGTGTGTGTGTGTGTGTGTGTGTGTGTGTGCGCGCGCGCGCGTGCGTGTCTGCATGCACACACATCTGTCTGTGTGTATGTGTCTCTCAGTAGTCTGGGGGGTGTGCACTCAGTCAGTGTTTTTGTATAACATTAAATAGGAAATTGTAACTTAGAAGAGTGACTTGGTAAAGCGGAAGAAGGCCTACCACTATCGGTGCACCATGTAAATTTCATTATAATACATGTAACACACAGACATGTAGAGTCAAGTTTGTCTAAGACATCCATTCAACCATTGCAGGACAGAACAGTGATTGTCATTGTATGATAATGTATGGTTACACAGGGTACTTCCTGGGGAGAAATGAGGGGAGACACAACAGATGGTAGCAAGGTGTCTATTTCTTTTCTTTAGCTGAGCTACTTTTTTTGTTTTTGTTTTAATACGTTTTACGGCACTTGCCAGACAATTAGGCCATATAAAGGCCTACATGTGTATGTATAAGCGCCAAAGATTAGAGGTATTACAAAGGAGTAACAAACACAAAAAAGGAGGAGAGATAAAGACGTTATATGTTTAATATAGAGAGAAGGAGCAAACCACCCCAGAGCACCCGCCAACCACCCGCGTCTCGTTTCCGTCTATACGTCTTGCTTTCCCTTTTTTTTATCCCTGTCAAGAGAGGTCGCTATCATATTGTGGTGCTTCTTATTCTTAATGAAATAGAGACTGTTGATGTACATGGTTATATTGATATAGTGTTGTGTGAAGATATTGGTGAATGTATCTCCATGGTTTATGTACATGATGTAGAGTTGTGTGAAGATATTGGTGAATGTATCTTCATGGTTTATGTAGGCCTACATGATATAGTGTTGTGTGAAGATATTGGTGAATGTATCTCCATGGTTTATGTAGGCTACATGATATAGTGTTGTGTGAAGATATTGGTGAATGTATCTCCATGGTTTATGTACATGATATAGTGTTGTGTGAAGATATTGGTGAATGTATCTCCATGGTTTATGTACATGATATAGTGTTGTGTGAAGATATTGGTGAATGTATCTCCATGGTTTATGTACATGATATAGTGTTGTGTGAAGATATTGGTGAATGTATCTCCATGGTTTATGTACATGATATAGTGTTGTGGGAAGATATTGGTGAATGTATCTCCAAGGTTCGTGGTTTGTCTTTTCGCCTTGTAGGCTACATGATAAAGAACGATTCAATTACAGTGTGTAAAAATTACTTTATCAAGGACTTCATCTTCCTTGTTAGGATTGGAATACAAAAAATATACTTGTGTATTATATATTATAATGGAAAGAGAGAGAAACGAACCGGCGAGTGTGTGTGTGTGTGTGTGCGTGTGTGTGTGTGTGTGTTTGTGTGTGTTTCCCACACAACTTGGCGGGTTGTCCTTTACACACCAAGATATTTCCACTTCTTATGAAATATTTTGTAATAAAACTTCAAATAAAAACATTTGTTTGCAAACAAAAATGGAGAAACTCATGTAATTGTCATTGTTTTTAATTGTGCAGTACTGATAAGGGTGATTTAAAAAAAACTAAACAGCTTTTTTTGTAAATAGGCCTATTTTCTTTTACACCGAAGTTTTGTGTTTCAAATTTTCACAATATTTTTTGAGTCAAAAGGAATTTGTCTCATATATATTCACTTTGGATAAAATCCACAGAATAGTTTTTCTCTACATGACGGGTTAAAAAAACCCACCCATTTTCACCGTATGTCCCCATTGTTTGTTGTAGCACTATGCACTAGTTCGCACTAGGCCTACCACTAAAAGTCCCAACGATTGGACCATAATGAAAGCTAGTTACAGTAGTCTAACAGGCCAATAGACGTTTGCAGAGATTTTCTCAAGTTTCCCTTGCCTGTTGAGATCATGGTTAAGATTAGTAAAGAGCAGAGAGCTTTTTGTATTGAACAGTACTTCACAACCAACTCATTTCGCAAGTTTCGCACAAGATGTTTAAAGTGTCCTTGAGGCCTCCTTTGATGTCCAGGGAGAAAACAGTCCATCTGTTAGGACCTGTAGAGAATCCGAACTAAAAATTCCCAAACAAAATGACCACTTTAGGTCAAACACACACCATTCGCACCCCTTTAAATGTCAGCAGGGTGCAGCATTCAGTAGATGAGCTCCATGAGACGTCTGTCCGTAGACAATGTCTGCAGCAAGGACTTTCCTACATCGCAACGGTCTACATTCTCAAGGTAGATCTTCATCTATGATTGTTTCATTCTCCTGCTCGTGAAACTGACGTGGATCAAAGAATAGCACTGTGTTCACGATTCCTCCATCGTATTGAAAAGCTCTATGACATTTGGTTCCTTGGCAAAGCCCATATTCACCTTTCAGGATATGTCAACTCCACAAACGCTGTCTATAGGGGCCACCTCACCCTACCCCCTATTGTCTCTAGAAAAGGGGTACAGTGTGTGTGGCTTGGGTGAATCCTTTTGTTTGGCCACCACTGAACATTATGAACGACACATTAAAATGTGTCGAGTCCAAAGCAAAACATATAGAGCACTGGTTCTCGAAATTCCAGAATTTAAAATTATTATTTTAGAAATATCTTTTTAAAACTGTAAGAGAAAAGAAATATTGTTTATGTTACAGTTACAGGGATGGAAAGAGTAGATTTCAAAAAGAAAAGGAAAGGAAAAAAACAAACAAATCATTTCATGACTCTCCTTACAAGATATTTTAAATTGTGCATTTTGCGTTTATAGGTGGTTTTCATAAAAGCCATTTCTGTTTTTGAAAACAAGTTTTTTCTTTATGAATTTTATGTCAAACAAATTTCTTTTCGATGAATTATATCTGTTCCAAATTACAACATTTCAGTACAAATTTTGTGTGAGATATTCAGAAAAAAAGTTGTTTAGTTTTTTTGTACACCCTGTATTTTATAAGAGTTTCTCGAGAGGTTCTTTTAGTCTCTCTAAGAGTAACATGAATGGAAAACATAAAATCATAGACAGGCCTGGATAAAACAGAAGGTGCAATGGCAGCTTGCGACAAGGAAAGATGGAGGGTCAGGGATGACACCTCCAGGCTCTTACTCTCTCTCTCATAAACTGATATAATATCTATGGTCGATGATGTAACAGTAAGGCCCTTCACACACTGAAGTAAGTTCCGTTTCTGAGCCAGGCAGTGTTTTATTTAGTTTCTCCATATGTCTGCTGAGACTTTGATTGTATCCCTCTATATTGTCACTGTGACAGGCCTATCCCCTACATAATCTTAATTGTGTCAATGACGCATAAAACATTTACACTTTTTCTCTCTCGCTCTCTCTCCATCTGTCCGTCTTCCTCTGTTTGTCTGTCTCTTTCTAGCTTACACACTTTTGTCTTTTTCTTTGTAACAGTTTACCCTCTGTTTGTCAAATAAGAATAATCAGTGAAGTGTCAACCTGCTGTGAGCATCTTTACTGCTCAGTCTGTATTTCATCAGACAGAAGGATAGAGAAACTGAATTTGGTTTTGACTCTCTCTCTCTCTCTCTCTCTCTCTCTCTCTCTCT